ACCCTAGTAGGAACTAAACTCATTCCAGCATAATAGCCTATAAAATAGTCACCTTTCATTTTCTTGTGATCTTGTAAATACAGAGGAGTCAAACTTCAAATATGAAAATTTCTTCTTTTTTTTATTTAGAGGGAGATGCTAATGGTCTAATCCGATTCAACTATTTATGCTAAGCTAAGCTAAAAGGGCTCTTGTCAAACTCAGTGATCGGCTGAATGGATTCCAAAAAACTGTTTTAAATTTATAAATTACCTCTAGGTGCCTTATAAAATGAGCCTCTTTCCAATAAAAGTGGAGTGTTCCTTTAAAAATTGATTTGAACACTGCAGATTATTTGCAGCTCCATGGGAAAGACGAATGCTTTTGGAATGACTTGAGTAACCTGGCTGCCTGTATCTGGGACAAATTTTTTGAATTTGAAAAGTTTTCATGGTCTAGAGTTTGTGTCCTGGGAGACATATGTTTTGGTTGCTAATGGTCTAATCCGATTCAATTATTTATGCTAAGCTAAGCTAAAAGTGCTCCTGCTTGGCCCTGAGATCTGCTGAAAGGATTCAAAAATGGTAAAACATTGACTGTCGGTGACAAAAAAATGAGTCAGTGTTCCTTTAAACAGTTGTTGTGGTCTGTAAGGGATACTGTTAACACATCGTTCCCCTAAGATCATACATAATAAGTCGCTTAATTCATGAAATATGGCAAGTGTGATCAGCAGCGCTTCACAGTCCTCTTTGCATCTGCACCTCGTGTCCTTTGGCGCTTCATAAACATATCATTCATCACCTGAACATGAGCCGAACTCTGCGCCTTGATTTATTAGTTGTTCCATCACTCCATTCAACAAATACTGGACGCATTAATAAATGCATAAACGTGACGGCTCTCGTCTGGGAATGCAGAACCTCCCGCTCATCGAGGAATGCATGCGCCTGATGGAAAGACAAGTGAGTACAAATGATGCAGTGTGAAGTTCTTCTTGTCATTGATACCGTGTGCATGACTTTCCTCTCTCTCTCTTTTTTTTTTTGACTAGGAAACTTTCTCACTGAAGATTTCCCCTTTGACATCCTGTTATATAATTTGCACCAATTCCTGGAAGCTTTTTTGGAGCTGCTCTGCATGAATAATCCAGGGCAGATAACGAAGAGCGCAAGTAAACAATGTGCAAAGCTTCGGAGGATGAAAAACAACCGTATAAATCTTCAAGGATCAGTGAAGCTTCAAATCAGGCAGAAAAAAAAATGGTATGAGCGTTTCTGAGCTGAAGCCCAACGGCATGAAATAAACTCACCGTAATACTGGATGAGGAAATTATTCTGCTCAGAAATCCACACTTCAGATTCTGGCATTTGGTCAACGCTGAGGCTGTAGTGATATTTGAATACACATAGAGCTTCACAAAAACAACATGTGATTTCATTCAAAGAGTCATGCTTGTTTTTGAGTCTGAAGTGGACTGGATTTCAAAATAGCTATGGATTTTGGACTCATCCAGACTTTCAGTGTTGGGAAAGACCTGTGGTTTGTTTTGCTTTGTGTGTTTTTTTTTTTTTTGTGCAAGAAGTAATTCCACCAAGACTGAAGATTTATTTAAAGTCTAAAGTGTGCAACTATTGGGATTACATGGCTTAAAACTAACTACACACTGTAAAAAGAAATATAAAATGTTATAAAATTAGTTGCTTTAACTTATTTTAATAAGTTAATCTGGTTTTAAGTTATGTAAATTTGAACTTAATATTTTTAGTCTGATTAATGCAAGTTGACTAGAAAAGTTTGATTCAATTAAAAAAATAAAGTCAGTGGGAGTTTTTGAAGAAAGTTTGATTCTGCCTTAAATTTTTAAGTTGAATCAAAGCCACTTCATCTCACATCAATTAAACAGACTTAAAACTATTTAAAATAAATTTGCAATTTAAAATAAAAAGTGGGCGAGGCAGTGGCGCAGTCGCCTCACAGCAAGAAGGTCGCTGGGTCGCTGGTTCGAACCTCGGCTCAGTTGGCGTTTCTGTCTGGAGGTTGCATGTTCTCCCTGTCTTCGCGTGGGTTTCCTCCGGGTGCTCCGGTTTCCCCCACAGTCCAAAGACAAACGGTACAGGTGAATTGGGTAGGCTAAATTGTCCAGAGTGAGTGTGTGTGTGTGTGTGTGAATGTGTGTGTTGATGTTTTCCAGAGATGGGTTGTGCCTGGAAGGGCGTCCGCTGCGTAAAAACTTGCTGGATAAGTTGGCGGTTCATTCCGCTGTGGCGACCCCGGATTGATAAAGGGATTAATCCGACAAGAAAATAAATGAATGAATGAAATAAAAAGTTGAAATCTGATTTTCTTATTAAAATAAGTTCAAGTGACGTAAAAACCTATGTTTTAAACCAACTTTTTAATCATATCTTTTTTCAATCACTCATTCATTTTTTTCAGCTTAGTCCCTTTATTAATCTGGGGTCACCACCGCGGAATGAACCGCCAACTATTCAACTATTCAAAGCTGCAGGCCAGTACTGGGAAATACACTCTTACATGCACACACATAAACTACGGCCGTTTAGTGTATTCAGTTCACCCATAGCGCATGTGTTAGGACTGTGTGGGAAACCGGAGCACCCGGAGGAAATCCACAATAACACTGGGAGAACATGCAAACTCAGAAACACTAAATGACCCAGCTGGGACTCGAACCAGCAACCTTCTTGCTGTGAGGTGTCAGTGCTAGCCACTGAGCCTTTTGTTTGTAGTCTCTTAGATTTAACTAAACACGACTTGTTCCACAACTGTATTTGTATTGCATCTGTCATACTTTCACTGTTTACATGGTCTATGCTGATGATATATTTATTAAAATAATATTTAAGTCACCGAACATCTATAGAAATTTAAACATAAAACACTTAAATTCATGCAAAAGCTACAACAATTCCGCGTAATTGTCCATGAGTTGTATTTTTGGTTCTCTTGGTTTTTGCTCCTTTTATTTTTATTTATTATTTTTACTAACATATACATTTGGGCTACAAATTTTTGGACCCCTATCTTAAGTTATTTCTTCAGATTATGTATGTAACCCACCGGTCCTACAGCACCCAACCCAGACTGAACTGGGATCGAAACGGTGATTCTTTGCATGGGAGTCGGTTGCTCTAACAAGGAGGCTAAACATCACGACTTCTAACCTCTGTCGCTAGAGCACCTTTAGAGTTCAAAGGAGTAAGATTTACCTGGATAGCGCTTTGCTAGCTGGCGTCTGTAATGCTGTGTTCACACAAGACGCGGAACGCGCAGATAAATCGCGCGTAAATAGCCGCGTGAACATTTGAGTTTACTCGCTTCATTCGCGCATTAAACTCCGCTTCATTCTGGCGTGAAATCCGCTTCATTCGTGTGTCAAATTCACTACAGAACAGACGCGGATTCGCGTGATGGGCAGGGCTTCTGTCTGCCCGGTGACTGTAGCTTCATTGCTAAATGGCTAACATGGATTTTATGAAGAAAATAACAGTGTTTATGTGCTTTATGAAGACTGTAAAACAGCGTCGATACGTTTGGGACCGTGTCTGAGTCCACTACATTCTTTCAGAGGTGCATCCAGCTCTGTGAGCTCATAAACTCCTCCAGAAACTGAACCTGGATGACGGAGACTTTCAGCGGTGCTTCTGACTGAGCCAAGCCCAGTTTGATGACTTGTTGTCGCCTGGAGGATTTGCTCCGGGACACCCATCAACAGGTTCTACGTCACAATCACGCCCCCACAAGAGCAAGCTTCTGATTGGTTAACGCGGAGCGAATGTCAACTGAAGTTCAGATTTTCGAACTCGAGAGATTCGCGCGAAACGCTCGTTAAGCGCGTCAAACGCGCAAACACTCAATTCGCCCTGCGCCATTCGCGCAATTCTCGTAATTCGCGCCATGCCATTAGCACGTATCGCGCCGCAGGATGTCTATTCGCGCGTTTGCAATGACTTTACATGTAAATCACTCGTGTTTGACGCGCGTTCCGCATCTGGTGTAAACGCAGCATTACACTCATCCCACTAAACCTCACTTCTATCCGGACGAGCCCCCACATGTAACCCACCCATCCTACTACACCAAACCTGCTCTGAGCTTGGATCGAATTGGTGATTTTTTGCATAGGAGTTGGTTGCTCTGACAAGGAGGCTAAAGACCACGGCCTCTAGCCTCTGTCGCTAGAGCACCTTTAGAGGTCAGAGGAGTGAGGTTTACGTGCAGAGCACTTTGCTTGCTGGCTTCTGTTACACTCACGCCTCTAAACCTCACTCCTATCCCGGACGAGCCCCCAAATGTAACCCACCGGTCCTACTGCAACCAACCCGCTCTGAGCAGGGATCGAATGTGTGATTTTTTTGCATGGGAGTCGGTTGCTCTAACAAGGAGAGTAAAGACCATAGCCTCTAGCCTCTGTCGCTAAAGCACCTTTAGAGTTCAAAGGAGTCAAGTTTACCTGGATAGCACTTTGCTATCTGGCGCCTGTTACACTTACCCCCCTAAACCTCACTTCTATCCCGGACGAGCCCCCACATGTAACCCACTCGTCCTACTGCAACCAACCTGCTCTGAGCTGGGATCGAACCAGTGATTCTTTGTATGGGAGTCGGTTACTCTAACAAGGTGGCTAAAGAGGTTTACCTGCAGAGCACTTTGCTAGCCGGCTTCTGTTACAATTAGCTCCAGATTTGGCTTCAGTACTGACTAATCTAATGCATATGCGTATATGCTGAGCACTGTATAGATAATGTGTATACTAAATAAAAATAAATGCATTTGGAAAAGTCATTTACACAAAATTTAATTTGCATTTTTAATGCAACAATCTTACCTGATTTATTTACAGCATGTCTGACTAAAAATATGCATCACATACTTTATATACTTGTATTAAAAAACAATGTAATCCAAATGGGTGTAAACTTGTTGCTCAAACGGTAATTCATGCCTACATATAAAACCATTCCTGCAACACAAAAGCCCCAAAAAAACAAACAGATACCAAATGAAGAGCCTCGGCTGCTCTAAAAATAGACTTTGACTGGCTGAGGCAGTTCTTTCCCAATCCGTTCAGTTGTTTTTGGAGCTTTTCATGCCTCTCTTTTCCTGCTTCTCGTCTCTTAAGAACAAATTGTTTTAAATTACGCACAACCTCAACTTTACAGCTGATCCACAAATGTGCACATGCAAATAAAAAAACCTAGAAAAACCCAAACAGTCGGCAGATGTCTGCCCAGATGCAGTCTGGGGAAACACCTCCCGAGCTTCTCATCCGCCTCTCGATGAAAAAAAAACAGGCCTTTTTAGTCCTCGCTCAGTTTATGTGCGCTGGCAGTCAGGCGTGCTTTCCGTCTCTCAGTTTCTCTCCAGTGTGTTTATCTGCATGTGTGAGTGTGTGTGTTTAATCGCAGGCTGTGTGTCTACATGGGAAGGTGCATCTGGAATCTTGCCTAAAGGCAGAAAGCGCACTGCTTTTACACTCCGGCACGCGCTCAGATGCTGGAGCCGCTGAAAGGAGCAACACATGTCTCCAATGAATGGATTATAACAACCGGAAACTGGACGTCGTTTACAGTCATTCAATCCTGAAGGGCCATGAGGAGGGACCGGCTGCTGGTGGCCGTCACTTTGGTCACTCTTCTAGCAGCTGATCTCCATTTCATCCTCCTCCCCAGACTCAAATCCTGGTATTTTCTGCCCAGAGAGAGCTGCTCCTGCGGGGACTCCAATGGGAGTGTGGATGCGATGTGGATGTGGAGTCAGAATTGGACAGCGGTTTCCATTGAGAAAGGCTCTAAGCTGGAGCGGCTCTTCAGGCATCCGCTTTACAACATCCGTCTGCCGGATCTGAGGGCCGATGAGCTCCTGCTGGAGCGCCAGGAGCTCATCAACTACTACCAGAGGAAAGTGAGCCGCTGGGAGAGGTAATACACAGTTGATTTGTTGATGTTTATAGCAGGATTTAAAGGGGTAGTTCACCCAAAAAAATGAACAGTTCAACTCAAGTGGTTGTAAACTTAGTCTCTTTCTTCTGTTGAACATAAAAGAAGATATTCTGAAGAATGTTTGGGAAAAAAGCTGCCATTGTGATTAATTGTAGGAACTGAACATACTTCAAAATATCTTCCTTTGTGTTCAACACAAGATAAAATAATAGAATATAGATTGAATAAAAATAGTTACTTAATCAAAAGTAAAACTGAATTATTAACTATTAAAAAACATCTTATTTTTAATTTACTTCAGTTAAAAAAACTAAAATAGTAATATAATAGAAAAATGGGAGAAATTTAATAATGAAAGCCCTTCAACACGGAATTAAAAATACAAATAAAATCAATGTGAAACTGATTTAAAATTAAATAACAGCACTCATTTATTTTCTTGTCGGCTTAGTCCCTTTATTAATCCGTGGTCGCCACAGCGGAATGAACCACCAACTTATCCAGCAAGTTTTTATGCAGCGGATGCCCTTCCAGCCACAACCCATCTCTGGGAAAGACACACACACATTTACACTTATACACTACGGACAGTTTAGCCTACCCAATTCACCTCTACTGCATGTCTTTGGACTGTGGGGGAAACTGGAGCACCCGGAGAAAACCCACGCGAAGGCAGGGAGAACATGCAAACTCCACACAGAAACACCAACTGAGCCAAGGCTTGACCCAGCGACCTTCTTGCTGTGAGGCGACAGCACTACCTACTGCGCCACTGCCTCGCCAATAACAGCACTTTCTCCCAAAATTAAATGATTATGTGCAACACTGATGCTAACATACTCTACAGTGTATACACTGTAAAAAGTCGTTTTACTTTACTTTAAAAAATGTGAGTAAACCTGTTGCCTTAAAAGCGACAAGTCGATTTTACTTTAAAAAAGTGGGTGATAACTCGTTTTAACTCAGATCTGGTAAGTTGCCTTAACTTAATTTTTATAATTGTGTATAATTAGATATTTATATTTACCTTCAGTTGAAGTCAGAATTATTTGCCCCCCTTTTAATTTTTTTCTCTTTTTTTAAATAATTCCCAAATGATGTTTAACAGGGCAAGGAAATTTTCACAGTATGTCTGATAATATTTTTTCTTTTGAAGAAAGTCTTATTTGTTTTATTTCAGCTAGAATAAAAGCAGTTTTTAATTTTTTAAAAGCCATTTTAAGGTTAAAATTATTAGCCCCTTTAGGCTATTTTTGTTTCAGTAGTCTACAGAACAAACCATCATTATACAGTAACTTGCCTAATTACCCTAACCTGCCTAGTTAACCTAATCAACCTAGTTAAGCCTTTAAATGTCACTTTAAGCTGTAAGTGTCTATAAAAATATCTAGTCAAATATTATTTACTGTCATCATGGCAAAGAGAAAATAAATTATTTATTAGAGATGAGTTATTAACACTATTATATTTAGAAATGTTTTGGAGTAATCTTCTTTCTGTTAAACAGAAATTGGGGAAAGAAATAAACAAGGAGGCTAATAATTCAGGGGGGCTAATAATTCTGACTTGAACTGTATATATTTATATAAGTTCATTTACTTAATCCTTTTAAGGCAATGGTTTTACTCTCTTTAACGAATCGCTTTTTACCATGTAACATCTCAAATAATGAAATAAATTATGTTTAATTGAACTGATCCAAATGCTAAACTCAATTTGTGGGTCAGCTCAGGTATACACTGTAAAAAGAAAAGTGTTACCTTAGTTATGTACCTTACTTAATATAGTACATTTAGGTTGACTTAATCTTTTAATTTACTTAATAAATGACTTAGGCGATGGATTTGCTCAAATTTTTTAAATCAAGTCCACTAATCGCTCTTGTACAGTGTAACATCTCAAACAATGAAAAAATATACAGTTGAAGTCAGAATAATTAGCCTCCTGAATTATGAGCCCCCCTGTTTATTTGTTCCCCAATTTCTGTTTAACAGGGAGCAGAATTCTTCAACACATTTCTAATCATAATAGTTTTAATAACTCATCTCTAATAACTGATTTATTTTATCTTTGCCATGATGACAGTAAATAATATTATACTAGATATTTTTCAAGACACTTCTATACAGCTTAAAGTGACATTTAAAGGCTTAACTAGGTTAATTAGGTTAACTAGGCAGGTTAGGGTAATTAGGCAAGTTATTGTATAACGATGGTTTGTTCTGTAGACCATTGGAACAAAATAGCCTAAAGGAGCTAATAATTTTGTCCTTAAAATGGCTTTTAAAAAATTTAAAACTGCTTTAATTCTAGCCGAAATAAAACAAATAAGACTTTCTCCAGAAGAAAAAATATTATCAGACATACTGTGAAAATTTCCTTGCCCTGTTAAACATCATTTGGGAAATATTTAAATAAGAATATCAAAGGGGGGCTAATAATTCTGATTTCAACTGTATATGATTAAGTAAATTGATTTAATGCAAAACTAATTTCTAGGATTGGTTTGGGTATACACTGTAAAAAATAATTAATTACTAGATTTAAAAAGTGAGTAAACCCAATGTAATCTGGAACTGTTAACTTAATTTTTCATTTACTTAATATTAAGACAATGAGTTTACTCTGTTCTTTAAGTAAAGTCAACTGATCACTTTTTACAGTGTAACCTCTAAATTAATGAAAAATAAATAATTGTGTTCAAAAGAATTAATCCAAGTGCAAAATGAAATGTAAGGGCTAGTTCAAGTCAAAAATAATATTTAATTATTTTTATATAGTATATTTCTGTAAGTATAATCCTATTATTGGTCTCCTGTTGTTTGTTTTTGGAGAAATGAAAGGATGAAGCAGTTTATTATTTATATTTTGGTGTAAGATGAGAGATAGGGATGTTGTGTTGTTGAACAGGACATTATAGAAAGTTCCAGCAGATGAAGCCGCATTGTGTTTGAATGATGAGTGTTTGGCTCAGATCTGCAAGTGACACGTGGAACTGACGTCTCACATCTTGATGGCAGTCTGCAGTCCAAATATCACTCAAAAGAACATTTACATTGTCATGAAAATCTAGTGCTTTTTACTCTGTATGCTTCATGTCAAGGCATATTTATTCATTTAATGGTATGAAATTAATATGTATGTGAGCAAGTAATAACAACTTAATTTCTTTTAAAGACTTATTATAATTGTTTTGCAACTGAGTTAAAATATACAGTTATTTTAAGACTTTTTAGAATGAGAAATTTAGCAAAATATATTTGTTTTTATTTTATTATATTAAATAATATAATTGTATTTTATAGCTATTTTTAAGTAAAGCAAGTTTTAATATTTGTTTATTTAAATATTGATTATTAGTATATTTATATAGTATACATTTTTGTGTTATTATGCGTTTGTGTTTAAGCTATAGATATAAAGCTAAGTTAGTTGCTTTATTATTTACGTATTTATTAGTGTGCAAGTTTAAAACTGATGAACAAATGTGTATTTATTTTAAATAATAATAATATTTTATTTATAATAGCGTTATTATAAATATATAATATATATTAATAATATATATTATTTATATATAATATATATTTCTAATATAATAAAATAATATTTTATGAGTTCATAAAAACATATTTTAGGACTGTTCAGAATGAGGTATTAAGCAAAATAAAATTGCTAATTACATTTTACTATATTATATTAATATAATTGTAATAATTGAAATTAAAGGAAATTATAATATTTATTTTTATTTTGCCTATTTATTTTTTATTTAAACATCAAATATTGGTATGTTAAGTAAAAGGGACTAAGCCGAAAAGAAAATGAATGAATGAATGAGTATATTAAGTGGTGTTATTACTGTATGTTTTTGTTTTATTTAAAGGATAGAAATAAAGCAAAATTATTTAAATAAATAATTATAATTATCATGTTTATTTTGCTGATGTATGGTGGTGGAATTAATGTAGAATGAAGTGTTATATAAGTGTTAATGTTAGAACTGCTGAGAGATTTCAGCTGCTGTCTGGGCTTTCACTGCGTTCCAACACCTCCTTTCTTCATGTGTTCAATACTTTTTTCCCTGCGTCGTTTCATTTTATTACACAGAACTTCATTTGTAAACTAATTAAATAAGTTTTCTTTGCCTATATGGATTTCTTTGGTTTTTACCAACATCCAGTGACAATTTCAAGTCAACAGCACCTTTAGAAATATGTTTTCTGGGAAAAATGGACACACGTTCAATACTTTATTCCTCCACTGTATGTGTTAAATTCATATATCTAAATAAATAATGATTCATTTGAATATTTAAGCATCATAAAGCATTATTTAAGCATTATAAAGGCATTATTTAGGCATTAAGCAATATTTAAGCATTTTAGAAAACTTGTGATAACAATAGAAATGCTTTGATTCGTAATGTAACCAAACAACTGTGGATGTATTGCTGGTTATTATTAGCAATAAAAAGCTACTGCTGCTGTATCCCGATGTTGTATTGTGTGACCCGAGTTCAGTGCGTGGTTTACAGCAAACCTCTGATTATGTGGGAGCCACTTGTATTGTTCATTGGCCCGTCTTTAACTTCTTCAAACTCATATAGAGTCGAGCGGCATCACTGCCAGTCCAATTAAAAGAGTGATTTGTCTACACCACCGCCTGTAAAACGCAAAACAGCACCTAAAATAAACAAGCTCTTGCTAAACTCAGATAAAAATAACATTTCCATGGGGCAACGAGAGGGAGAATTGCTGTAAAAAGTGATGTTTTGAGTCATTTATTTTGCAGGAGTGTTAAGGAAATACAGTGGCTTGAACAACTTTATAATCTATTCATTCATTTTCCTTCGGCTTAGTCCCTTTATTAATCTGGGGTCGCCACAGGGGAATGAACCGCCAACTTATCAAGCATATCTTTTACACAGCGAATGCCCTTCCGGCTGCAACCCAGCACTGGAAAACACCCATACACTCTTACACTACGGTCAATTTAGTTCATCCAATTCCCCTATAGCGCATGGGTTCGGACTGGGTGGGAAACCAGAGCTCCCGGAGGAAACCCACGCCAACACGGGAAGAACATACAAACTCCACATAGAAACGCCAACTGACCCAGCTGGGACTCAAACCAGCGACCAATCACATTGTTGCCAATCACATGCTCCCTGAGAGATTGAGACTTATGTTCTGATTAGTTTTTTTACCAGGATTTTACACAATGCTGTTTGATGCTCACGTTATGGCCATTCACATGTACCAAAATTCTAATTATAAAACTACGCCTAGGTATATCTAGATTTTCATTCTGTCATATTTAAAACAACAGCAGTATTTACACTTACGGCCACTTTATTAGGTACACCTTTCCTACTGCTCGTTAAAGCAAATTTCTAATCAGCCAATCTCATGACAGCAGCTCAATGCATTTAGGCATGTAGACATGGTCAAGACGATCTGCTGCAGTTCAGACCGAGCATCAGAATGGGGAAGAAAGGGGATTTAAGTGACTTTGAATGTGGCATGGTTGTTGCTGCCAGACGGGCTGCTCTGAGTATTTCAGAAACTGCTGATCTACTGGGATTTTCACGCACAACCATCTCTAGGGTTTACAGAGAATGATCTGAAAAAGAGGAAATATCCAGTGAGCGGCAGTTCTGTGGGCGCAAATGCCTTGTTGATGCCAGAGGTCAGGTCAGAGGAGAATGGCCAGACTGGTTCCAGCTGATAGAAAGGCAACAGTAACTCAAATAAGCACTCGTTACAACCGAGCTCTGCAGAAGAGCATCTCTGAACACACAACACGTCCAACCTTGAGGCGGATGGGCTACAGCAGCAGAAGAGCACACCGGGTGCCGCTCCTGTCAGCTAAGAACAGGAAACTGAGGCTACAATTCACACAGACTCACCAAAACTGGACAATAGAAGATTGGAGAAACGTTGCCTGCTCTGATGAGTCTCCATTTCTGCTGACACATTCGGATGGTCGGGTCAGAATTTGGCATCAACAACATGAAAGCATGGATCCATCCTGCCTTGTATCAACGGTTCAGGCTGCTGGTGGTGGTGTAATGGTGTGGGGGATGTTTTCTTGGCACACTTTGGGTCCATTAGTACCAATTGAGCATCGTGTCAACACCACAGCCTACCTGAGTATTGCAGCTGACCATGTCCATCCCTTTATGAGCACAGTGTACCCATCTTTTGATGGCTGCTTCTAGCAGGATAACGCACCATGTCAAACTGTGAATCATCTCAGACTGGTTTCTTGAACATGACAATGAGTTCACTGTAGTCAAACGGCCTCCACATTCACCAGTTCTCAATCCAATAGAGCACCTTTGGGATGTTGTGGAATGGGAGATTGGCATCATGGATGTGCAGCCGACAAATCTGCAGCAACTGTGTGATGCTATCATGTCAACATGGAGCAAAATCTCTGAGGAATATTTCCAGTACCTTGTTGAATCTACACCACAAAGGATTAAGGCAGTTCTGAAGGCAAAAGGGGCTCCAACCCAGTACTAGTAAGGTGTACCTAATAAAGTGGCCAATGAGTGTATATTGTATAACAACATTTACATTATTTAAATTTTTTTGTTAACTTAGGGAATTTGTCCCATAAAGACAGTGAATGGGTGAAGTGTGAATGCCATTTTATGCTCATTTGTAAAAGCTCTTTGAAATGCCATAAATGCTGTATGTTCGTGTGTGTGTGTGTGTGTGTTTTGTTTTTAAAGTAATAAAAGCCAAAATTTTATTGCGCAGAAGCCCAAAAATGCTGTTGGCTGAGACTTTAAATTAGGATTGTGCTATTTTTACATCATATAGTTTTCTGCTTGTCGCTGGGTCGCTGGTTTCTGTGTGGAGTTTGCATGTTCTCCCTGCGTTCGCGTGGGTTTCCTCCAGGTGCTCCGGTTTCCCCCACAGTCCAAACACATGCGGTGCAGGTGAATTGGGTAGGCTAAATTGTCCGTAGTGTATGAGTGTGTGTGTGTGTGTTTGTGTATGTTTCCCAGAGATGGGTTGCGGCTGGAAGGGCATCCGCTGTGTAAAAACTTGCTGGATAAGTTGGCGGTTCATTCCACTGTGGCGACCCCGGATTAATAAAGAGACTAAGCCGACAAGAAGAGTTTTCTGCATGTGCACACTTGTTTACTCTAAGGAAACTTGTTATTTTAAGAGCCATCTATACATTTCTAGGTTGATGACTTAAAAGTGAGCTTGGCAACTTTGTACTCACCACTTTAGTACTTTAGTAAGTTTTAGGACGGGATAGTGATGAAAATGTTTAATTTCAGAATGTGAATATTATATAATGAGTGCTATTACACAACTCTCTGGGATACTTGATTCTGATTGATCAGTTGCAACATTGCAAGGTGTGTTGCTTTCAGATAACAAGTGATTAAACTAATAACTCTATTTGCATCATCTTGGTCATCAGTGAATATCTTTACACCCATATACATACATTTTTTTTCCTTTACAGGATGAAGAAGTTCTACATGGAGGCGGCCGCAGCTTCAAACATCTCCATCTCTGACCATCCGGTGAGTTTTAAACCGGACGCCAGCTGGCTTCAGTTCCACCTGGGGATCAACAGATACGCGCTGTATAACCGAGAGGACAGCAGCGTGGACACACTCCTGCAGGACATGCAGACGGACACTGTCATTAACGCAGGTGATGCTGAAACACACAGCTACAGCAGATCTGAGTCTAAATGTGATGCTGAAGCTGATGATCTTTGTTTTGTCGTCTGACAGATTTCACTCAGGATGAGAAAGCACTGAAGGGCGCATGCGACTGCTCACAAGGTAAAATACTCATATACAGTTGCAGTTAAAATTATTAGATGTGATGATTTGAGATGCTCAGGATAACATGAGAGCTCTATAATGCTGGTCTCATTTTCAAAGTAAGAGTCCCACATAAGACAAACTCAGATATACTTAAAAAATTAGGAAAATGAAAGGTCATGAATATTAATGAGGTCGTACACAGCGTGATTTCACATGACAGGATGTATAAACGTGCATCAAACATGTAAATATGCTGAAGATTCATCAGTCTACATTGATTCATTACACACATATGCGGTAAATTTCACAATATACACATTAAACTGACAAAAGATACAGTTAAACATAGGTTATGCCATTTTAGGGGGCACTAAATACATTTTTAATCTGTATATCCTGCATTTTGCAGTCTGATGTGATGATTTGAGATGCTCAGTGACTGGTTGAATAACATGAGAGCTCTATAATGCTGGTCTTATTTTCAAAGTAAGAGTCCCACATAAGACAAACTCAGATATACTTAAAAAATTAGGAAAATGAAAGGTGATGAATATTAATGAGGTCGTACACAGCGTGATGTCACATGACAGGATGTATGAACGTGCATTAAACATGTAAATATGCTGTAGATTCATCAGTCTGCATTTATTTATTACACATATATGCGGTAAATTTCACAATATACACATTAAACTGACAAAAGATACAGTTAAACATAGGTTATGCCATTTTAGGGGGCAGTAAATACATTTTTAATCTGTATATCCTGCATTTTGCAGTCTGATGTGATGATTTGAGATGCTCAGTGACTGGTTGGATTACATGAGAGCTCTATAATGCTGGTCTTATTTTCAAAAATAAGAGTCCCAAATAAGTCAAACTCAGATATACTTTAAAAATTAGGAAAATGAAAGGTCATGAATATTAATGAGGTCTCACACAGCGTGATGTCACATGACAGGATGTATGAACGTGCATTAAACATGTAAATATGCTGAAGATTCATCAGTCTACATTGATTCATTACACATATATGCGGTAAATTTCACAATATACACATCAAACTGACAAAAGATACAGTTAAACATAGGTTATGCCATTTTAGGGGGCGCTAAATACATTTTTAATCTGTATATCCTGCATTTTACAGTCTTATGTGAGGATTTGAGATGCTCAATGGCTTGTGAATTACTTGAGAGATCTATAATGTTGGTCTCATTTTCAAAATAAGAGTCCCATGTAAGATAAACTTAAATATATTTAAAAAATAAGGTGAATATATAATCGTTGTTGTTGTCTCATTAGGGAAATAAAAGGTCGTCAATATTAATGAACACTCACTCAGTGTGATGTGATATGACAAATGCGCATAAACATGGATATATGCTGAATATTCATCCTACATGTGTTGTCTCATTGCATACGTACCCTGCAAATTTCACAATATACATGTTAAACTGACAAAAGGTACAGTTAAACATAGGTTATGCCATTTTAGGGGGCGCTAAATAAATTTACAATCTGTATATCCTGCATTTTGCATTCTGATGTGATGATGTGAGATGCTCAATGAATGGTTGAACTACGGGAGAGCTCTATAATGTTGTTTTCATTAAGAGTCCCAAAATATAATAAGAAACAAAAAAACTAAATAAGAGTCCCAGATGCTCAATAGGGTTTAAGTCAGGGCTTTGCCTGGGCGTTCAAGAACAGTCATGGGGTGTTGTGAAGCCACTCCTTCACTATTTTATCTGTGTGCTTAGGGTCACTGTCTTGTTGGAAAGTAAACCTTCGGCCCAGTCTAAGGCCCTGAGCACTCTGGAGAAGGTTTTTATCTAGGATGTACTCATCAGATTTGGCATTTTGTTCAGATTGGCCTGTTTTTCACCGGGATTTTACTCTTGGGAATGGGACTCACACTTTGTTAATTAATGCTACAGCATACTGTACTAATTATAGTAAGCTGATAAACTGTAAAAATACTGTAGTATACTTTAGTTTTTAGTGTTGTGTATTGTAGTATTATATACCCTATAGTTATAGAAATCTTAGTGTGTTGGGTATTTGTTTAATACTATACTATAGTTGTACTTCTAACTATAAAATTACCACAACTGATCAAGTCAAGTACTTTACTATTGTAAGGTTTCAATCCATCATTGGACTAGTTTGTTAAACGCCACAACAAGGCACCTGTCCTGAAGGCATACACATGAACCAAACAGTATACTATAGTATAACACACTGAAATGCCAACTTACCCAACCGGACTCGAACCAGCGACCTTCTTGCTGTGACAGTGCTAACGACTAAGCCACCGTGCCACCCCATTTTAGCTCTTTTTGGCTAAAATAATTGTCTAATACAGTACAACAGAAGCAGTTTCATTGTTTACCCAGAACTTTGTGTCATTTTTCTGATTCGCTCATTATGCTCATGTGTTATTTTGGAGTATGGTTGAGTTTGTAAACGATCGATATGATTGAGACGGAAAGGAGCTAAAAGAAGTTAAAATGGTGTGGTTTTGGGTGTCCGGCAGCCTGCCACGGCTTCCCACAACCTCAGACAAAGCAGAAGAAACAGCAGGCTGAAGTGAACAAACACCGCAAGCCCTGCTTATGTAAAGATCCCTCTATAATTAAAATATTACCGCTGAAAGGTCGACTCCGGGGAGAAGAAACAGACCAAAAGAGTCACTTCCTCTCACAGTCAGGTGTTTCAATAATTCTGACCAACAAAACTTTCCTGGAAACTGTGATATTGCATATGTAACATTATTGTGGCTGTCATAATTTAAATAAGTAATCCTCTAATATATACATGTACAGATGTTACTACTTCAATGTGTTCCTTGTGCCGCCATTCATACCGCGGCGACGGCGGTACTTGATGCGCCAGCAGCATTTGACCGCTGGGTGGCACTTTAACCACAGATATTCAGCTTTGCCTTTTCACAATGCTAAACAGACTGTTCTGTAGGCGTAGCTTACTGTATGTGATGTGATGTGTTCAATTAAAATATAATTTTAATTTAGTTTTTCTGGTAATAGACATGCTCTTACACTATACTATGCTGCAGAAAAGATACATGGTGAGAAGTCAAAAAGCAAATATAAGAATTAAGTTATTAGCCTTCAGTGCCCGATTAAATTGCGTTGGGGTGAAAATAATGTTTTGATTTCTTTGACTATCATGGCAATGTTATTATCACAAATCTTAAACGTGCGCATATAAAAAACAGCAAAATAATATAGATTATTCTGCCGGTAGAGCACATCACCTCACAGTTGTGAACTTGCGATCACCTCAACTTACATTTAAAATTTGTTTACCTGGTTTATTGTAAACTTTTTAAGTGCAAAGAGGATTCGTTTTGGAAAATAGAATTGAAGAAATGAAAGACAACTAAAGTGAAAGCATAAACATTCAGTACAAATAAGTAGTCTTAAATAAATAAATAAATAAATAAATAAATAAAGCAGTCTTTTAGTCTAAATATAGAGAGATGTAGTTTGCTATTTTGATAGGACTAAGACAAGATATTTTCATTTATGTTTTTAATTTACGTTTTTATTTACATTTTCGTTGTTGATTATATTTTACTATCTCATTTTATGTTTCAATTATAGTACATAATAATAAACGAATAATGAAAATAAATAAATAATGAAAATAGGACATAAATTAAGTCTGGCAGGTTTATTTTTAATAATTTAGTTTCAGTTCGTTTTTTTGTTTCAAAACGTCAATGTTCTGCTTTAAAGTATAACTGTTTTGTTTTGTTTTTTTTACTTAATGGCTCAGTAAGTTTTGTATTTTAATTTCATATTCAGTCACCTTGCATATGCGTGTGAAATATAATGCCGCATAACCGCGGAAAAAGAAGAAAAGGCTGTCAGTTAAAGCTAATCAAAATTAGCTATATTAAAATACAGCATTTATGTTAATACAGGCAGAGTGTGAACAAACTCAAGGCTAAGATATGCGCTTGTTTTTTAATGCATTTAAAAATAAATGCTATATAAATAAATGTTTTTTTTTTTTACTTTTTTGTATGGTAAAGGACAATGCACATTATGTTATTGATGTAAACTTAGGCTAAAACTTACCATTGATAAACGTGACCTACCTCAAGCAGATCACTTAAAGTGTAATAAAAATAATGTTGCCGCAGGACATAAACGAAGTCCCGCAAGTTTATTTTTAATAATTTAGTTTCAGTACTATTAACTTTTTTTTCTCAAAACATCAATAGCACCTTCAATAATCTAAACATTAAAGATAGACCGCAAGATGTGTTGAGTGGCTATATGTGGTGAAGAACGATGGCAAAGCTAAGTGTGATTATTGTAATAAACTAATAAGTTATAAAGCAGAGAGTCCCGACCAACAGGTCTGACTTAGCATATGCGGTTGGCTCATTCTTCACGAATATAGAATTAAAATAATGGCGCGTTAGGTTCATTGTGCATCCCGCAGGTGCAACCAACAAGAGTTGTGCATTTTAGTTTAACTTTTTTGAGCGTTATAAGCAGCTCGGTGTTAGTTTTTAATTAAATATATCGAGCCGAAACTAAGCAGCGCATTCTCTCCGCCTCCTCCTTTATAACCAGCGGGACACGCTACTGAAGCAGGAGAGACACTCCGTCGTTCATAATCTTAGCTGATGTGTCGGAGTCGAAAGAATATATCAAAGAGGAATTTTCTTTTTACAGTGCCGATATGTTTAATCTTTTTTTCCCTGTCATTTCTCTTCAGCAAATTATATTTTTAAAGCTGCTTGATTCTTTTAAAACCGAAAGCAGAGCCCGTCAATGGGTGTTTTTTCATAAGATACTCCTTTATTAATGTTTTATTTTATGAGTGTCTTTAATGTGCTTTTTAATAGTTTTATTTTATTCAAAGCAGCGCCTAAAAGCGAATTTATCCTCAAATCGTGGCATGAGAGCAATGTCATGTCGCATATATTGCCTTTTTTTCTGATCTTTTTGCATAAAGGTTTAAATCAAAAGACA